AACTCAGATAATCGACAATGAACTTGAGCTAGGGAAGCATTCAGGAACAATATTGTAAACACTTATTTTAAACATAAAATTATTATTGTTGAGATATTTGTGAATGCATAAAGAAATAAGTTAAAATTATTGCTTGTAAGTACTTTTGATTAATATCTGTGATGTGAAAACATTTCTTTGTGTTAACAGATACAGTAGTAGATACTGTTTTTGTTATACTTGAACAAAAGTTAATGATTAGAAAATACAATGGATAATGGTTTTTTACGTTACAATCAACAGAGTCGTTTTTTATTGCAATCACCTGAAGCCTTAATACCACGATACTCTTAACACACATATCAGTACAAAGCGCCGATAAATGACCTTCAGTACAAAGTACAAAGCGCCGAAGAACTTCCTTCGACACCAATTGAAGTTTGGATATGGCTTTATTTGGATCGTATACCTTTACTTTTCTTAGAGTCAGAGCACTCGATTGAAAAATGCAATTGCACATCGAATGAAAGTTAATAAGTACTGTCATTTCTACCATGTAAATTTGAATTTTACCCACAGCCACCCTGAATGTCCTATGATCAGAACAACCGAAGCTGTGGGCTTTTACCTCCGTGGTAGCAGATTTACACCTCCGATCAAATATCGCAAGTGAAACTCACTCACTACCATTTTTACTCCAAAAAGTATTGGATGGTGTCTGCTAGATTTTTATCGTCTTTTACGACGAGTATGACTTACTTTGAGTATATTTTAAGCACTTCGCAGTAAGTTTTGCCAGTTACAAACATTTACCCGGTTTTTTCAGTATATTTAAAATCAGCTATAAATAGACAACATTCCACATTGAATAAACATTATGATCCTAACTGATTAACTGATGATATTGCTTAACCTGATTTATCATCCCAAAAAAAACGTATTTATCTGTGTTGAAAGAAGATTTTCTCTTTCTGAAGGGTATCAGACTTTATCGCTTTCCTACTTGTATATAGACTAAAGAAAAATTACTATACTGAAAATAAGGGAATTTACAATGACAGACATTTTAGTCGTCGTTGAATATACGGAGTGGTTTTTGTTATGTTACAATTAATTGTTAGGATAACATATTTACTTTTGCCACAGCGTAAGTGAATCATAAAGAATGATTTTTATCAGCCATTGTCATCATGAGATTCCAATCATGATTCGGTCTTGCAGGGGGCCCCTAGTATATATAATTTAATAATGTATAATAGTATATAATATATAATAGTATATATAATTTCAGTAACCCAAATATTTACTATTTTCTAAATAAACGACTGTGGATCATGAAAGTTGTTTTTAATGTACTATTGCTATTATCAAATACAAAAACTTGCGTCTTCTTCCTTCTAATTTATAATAGATAATAAATATAATATATATCGTCTCTTTTTTGTCGTCAGTATTTTTACGTTGTTAAACTTTTTCTTCTATTTACTGAAGCTATATTCATTCATTCAATGAGAATGAATATTCATCAACCTGATAATTTTGTCTTTCAAATTTCATTCATTCATTTAATAGGCGTCGTTGTATAGGATTAAAAGTGGATTAAGCATGCAACGGATTAGGACCCGATAGCAATCGCAACTTAAGTCTCATTACTTACTTAGGTCATGCTTAAGTCATCAATTTTGCTAACTTAATTCATACTTAATTCAAGCCAAATCAGGTCTTATATTGTGATTGTGAAATCACCCCTTATTTCTATTAATTGGCAAGATATTTATTCTAAAGGAAACTTAGGTTTAGCTTAACGATCTGCACAGTTTTCAGCCCTCTAAGACAACGCAATGTGTTAACACTTGTAAATAGATCTCCAGTATCACTAGAATAACCTGACTACCAGTTGCTACTAAATACGCTTGATTTCGTATACTAGAGCAATATATATTTTACTGTAATTAATCCCAAGTAACAATTATGTTTATTATTTAGTTGTGTTTCTAATAAAGATTTCTATAAAAATAACAAGACATAAATAATTCACTGAAAAACATTTAAAATGCCTGGCTATGAAAAATAATTAAAAGTTGAAGAAAAACAAGATTTTAACAATTTCCTTGAAGAGAACTTCTTGTTTTCATTTTGGTTTTAGTTTCTTCAATTTTATCTGATGAATGCAACAAAATAGTGCAAGCGTAACTCGTTGCATTGTTCTGACGTACTCGAGTCGAGATACTTTTTTATATTTGGCATAACTTTAATTGGCTAAAAAGTGAACTGGGTCACGCGCTGCAGTTTTGTGTTTCGTACCAAAAAATATTGTTGCAAATAAAATTAACTCCCTGAAAACAAGAGTACAGAGTACAGACTTCCGCATGAAAGGGAAATTAGTTTTTTAAAACTGCAGTATTTTTTAATTGGTGAGGAATTAGTTTGTTATGGTATATCAAATATTTTTAAATGGTTCATAAAATACCCGTACTGTACACGAATGCAAATTGAAAATATACATCAAAGTTTTACCTTAAAAACATAATTATTGCTTTTGCCTCTTGTTACTTGTTTTGTTACTTTTAAGACAGAATCTTACTTTTCTAAGAAGCTTATATCAAACATTTTAGAAAAAGTATAGAATATTTAAGATACACAAGCACAAAGAAAATTAAAATAGGCTATTATATGCGAGCATAGATCCATGCTCAAACATTCATTATATGGGTAGGTTATCTGCATAAATGAAAATCTAAATAAAAAAAAAATTCTGAAAATCTAGCTATGCTTACAATTCTGTATATTATATGATTTGATATATATTAATACTATACCAAGCTGTGAGAATATTGCGGGCTTTATCTTGTTTGTATTATTATGTAACTCCAATATCACTAAAATCTTGCAACTACAGGAACCTAAGGGTTCCTGAGTGATAAAAAACCTATACTTTCTATAGTAAGTTTTCACCATTTTGGTACAATTAGTGGTTATTAAATGAAGCAAATTAAAAGGTCAAAGCATCATGACTCCCACGACCGATGCCAATCAGCGCGTCACCAATGAGCTGGAATGAGCTTTCCTGTGATGTTATGGTTACAAGTCAAGGATCAATTTTATAAAATGCCAAATTTTGAGCTGTATTTATAATATGTTTAAGGACAGGTTTATTTAACAATTATTATTATAATAATTTTCCTAAATCA